CCTTGCAACATTTGCTGACCTTCCAAGCTACAGTACTCTCAGAAATCCCAGGTCAACACATGTATCTAGAATTACATCAATGTTTGTTGTTTGCATTCTTCTTGTATTACATTGCATTAACGCCTGAAGCTTATGTCAACTACTTCTGGCAGAATCATTCTACATCATTGTCATAGGTCCCTGTCCAAACCTCACTGTCAGTATTGAAAGCAACACTCCCGATTCCCCATCAAAGACATAAGCATTTTAAAAGAGGACATGGGACTCCCTTGGGTTAGATACTGCATCCAGATATGCAAAAGTGGTGCCTTTTCCCTCAGTGACCACCTCAAATTTTGACAGAAAACTATTAAGAAGCAATGAACAGAAAAATGAAGCAGGAGCTGCAAACAGAGCTGGTCCAAGCAAGGACGTAGTGAACACACCCAGCCACTCTCCAGGAAGAGTGGAGCTTTTCAGGATCTTCAAAACTTCACTGTCAAAGAGTTGCTCCGACTAAAACTTTCCATTCAGTTTCAGGGGCAAAAGGTTTTGGCACTGCTGGTGTTCTCCCTGTTAAGTTACATCCTCATTTACACTGGACATTATCAAGGCTTCAGCTGAGCCCTATTATTGTTAAACACATACAAATTAAAATTACATTAAGACACAACTAAACACAAACAAGGAAAGTCATACCAGCTGCCAAAAATACCAGAAAGACTTTTCCCACAGGGTATTAACTCACAATAAATCTAATTTCAATAAAAGGTCAAATTTGACAGATTGTGGGAAAAAAACAACGCTATGTGATTTAAGGATTGATCTTCCTCCTAAGGTCTTTTAACATCAACAGGTACAAAAGTACATCTATAATTTTGAATTAGTTATAGTCTATGAGCAAAACTGGTTTCAGTAATAGTCTTTTGATATAAAAGAACGCTATAAATACTGCAGTTTGCATTGAACCACTTAAATTTTATTTTTGAAATTACCTTCTCATTAGTCCTGACAATTTAATCAAAATCAAACCAAAACTGGAAAATAAGTAGAGTGATATTTAAAATAAAATTTGTTCCTCTATGTCGAGAGTAATTGGTTTGAACACACGAGAAGAACTCAAATTAAAGGGAGGGGAGCATCACTGCATCGAGATGCCTGAGAGCAACTGGTATACAATAGGGCAGAAAATACCACTCACAACTTCTTCACCTAAGCTCTTAAGCTTTATTCCTTCCCTGCCCTGCTTAAAAGCAATAAAAAAAAAAAAAAACAACACCCACCCCACACAACATGGGACTTGCTAAAGCTTCCTAAGTCGCACAAAATATTGGCATATACTCAATTCATCCTCTGGCACTAAATCCCAATGAATTCCCTGGAGATCTGAAGTCACTAACGATGGAAAACTTCATCTGGATATCTGAACATAAACATTTTTGTATTTCCCACAATTTAAAAGTACATGTTAGAGAGAAGAAAAAAAATACTGGTCCAACATCCAACTGGGATATTTTATGATAGGAAAGCTTTTTTTTTTCTTTTTTTTTTTATACCTCTTAACTCTTTAAAGCCAAGTAAAACCTTGAATGCGAGGATAACAGGAGATTCTGCAACAAGGGCACCACAGAACAATCTGCATCTTCTCATAAAGTACAGAAGTCCATGGGACCTGATGAGATGCATCCCAGAGTCCTGAGGGAACTGGCTGACATAGTTGCCAAGCCACTCTCCATGATATTTG